TAACCTTTTGTTAATCTTGTGTTAACCTTTTGTTAATCTTGTGTTAATCTTGTGTTAACCTTGTGTTAACCTTTTGTTAATCTTGTGTTAATCTTGTGTTAACCTTGTGTTAATCTTGTGTTAATCTTGTGTTAATCTTGTGTTAACCTTTTGTTAATCTTGTTAATCTTCTGTTAACCTTGTGTTAATCTAGTTAATCTTGTGTTAACCTTTTGTTAATCTTGTGTTAATATTGTGTTAATCTTGTGTTAATCTTGTGTTAACCTTTTGTTAATCTTGTTAATCTTGTGTTAACCCTGTGTTAATCTTGTGTTAATCTTGTGTTAACCTTTTGTTAATCTTGTTAATCTTGTGTTAACCTTGTGTTAATCTTGTGTTAACCTTTTGTTAATCTTGTGTTAACCTTTTGTTAATCTTGTGTTAACCTTGTGTTAATCTTGTGTTAAGCTTGTGTTAATCTTGTGTTAACCTTTTGTTAATCTTGTTAATCTTGTGTTAACCCTGTGTTAATCTTGTGTTAATCTTGTGTTAACCTTTTGTTAATCTTGTGTTAATCTTGTGTTAATCTTGTGTTAATCTTGACACACCATTAGAACAGTTCCCTTCATGTGTGAGCGACGTGTGTGAGTTTTTGTGTTGATGTTGTAATGTTGGTAACACCAAAGTCCATGCTCAATAATCCAGGTATAAAATCCAACAATGTTCAGTCAGCTCATCTGGACAGTTTCTTCTTTGTTTGTTTGTTTTTTGTTTTTGTTCTGAGACATTTCTATTCAATCCAGAAGGTTTCTTCAGTCTGAGGGATCACCACCGTGTTTCCTCACAATATATTTCATTATATTGTGAACACTGTTCTAACAGCTGCTCTTCTAGATGTGCTTTATAAATTTACTTTCCAGATGTTTCTCTTGTTCCTCCCAGAGGCACTAATGCACCCCCATACCCTCAGAGAGGCAGGTTTTGGACCTGTGAGCTGAACAGGTTCGATGGTCCTGCACCTCTGGAGGACATAGTGTCCAGATTTAGATGGACCCATCTAACCCCAGAACAGTTCTGGACTTCACCTCAATCGATATGAAACGAGCTCAGAACAGAACCAGACCTGGTTTTACTGGAGTTATTAACCACACGTTCCTCCTGGTTCAGAGCCGGTCCTCTGGTGGACCTGCTGACCATGAACCACACGTTCCTCCTGGTTCTGAGCCGG